GTCAAACAAAGCTCTAACAAAAGATCTTTCATGTCCTCTCCAGCTGGACCCTCTAGCATTGTCAGAAGAAGATTAAGACAAGGTAGCAGCATGGGGATCAAATCTCTCAAAAGTAGTTCATATTTACATCCAGCAAGACCTCTGAAAACAGTGCGGAGCAATTGCATATAACCAAGTGGTTTTTCAACTTCTGTAGCATTCTTCATGCAGACTTCCATAATAACAGGCACGTGATGCTGTAATATTCTTTCAAAATCAGATGGTGTCTTGGTGACAGCCCCAAAGATGCATCTAAACAGATGCAAAACTAGTTTAGTTGCAGCTGAATCTGAATTCTTCAGAACATCAAGTTTGCTGCTAACTAGTAAATTAATCAAAACATCTGCAAATGGCTTGTAAACTTTGGGAGCTTGCAGAAGTGCTGCAAATATCTGAACCAGTTGGTTGTTGTTAATCATGCTCTCAAAAAGCTCTGGCATGCATAAAGAGAACATGTCCATTAGATCACGAGGTTCCATAATAGCAAGAATCTGGGAGAAAAGATTAAGCATTTCCTTCTCTTCATCCTTCTCTTTGAAGAGAGCTAAGCAGTGGACACCACTCTTTAAAACACCAGAGGCTTTCCACACCTGCATAAAGGCAGAGATTACTAAGTTTATAGCCGTACACTATTAATGACTAAAGTAAACAATCTTACAAGCAATACCTCATCTTCTCTCATTCCTTTAAAACCCTGCGGAGCAGATGATTGTGAAACAAGAGCTTGAGGGTTCATCCCCTGAACAGCAGGAGAAATCGTCATAATTATATACTTGAATGACAGAACTATAGAACACTGAAACAAGAGACAACTGAAAACAAACCTGAGGTCGAGGCAAATGTGCATGGGTTATACTCCATATTATTGTTTTCATTCCTGACCACAAATCAGAAAGAGAAAAATATTGATCATCAAGTCTAGAACCATGATCAATGTAAGAAAATGATAATTCTGCTAAGATTCAGTACCCATGACCAGTGTCTTGATCAAATTCTTACAATCATTCACTTCTTTGGAATGTTCAACAGGAACCTGCAAATTCAAAACTGCCTGCAACCAGTGTGGTCTAGCTATTAATAAAAACTTCTACATAATCCATTTGTTGATCCAAAGAAAATAGAAGAAGTTGACAATAAGACTGCATAATGCTTTGTAAGGAGACAAAAATCCTGTACAAAATCTAAGAATCCAACTTGAATTATAATAGCACCTATACTCCAACTTGAAGCGAAAGTGGACGGTCCGCGTAAGAAAATATGGGAGCTTTAAATTAGCAAAGTTTGAATATAAACATGTCCAAGACGATCTCACAATGGCTGATAATTTGGGTTACTCACAAAGAAAAGCCATCACTGATATGAGATGACACAAATTACCTGAACAGGAAGTTCAAGCTTAGACCTCAAAGTGACCCGATCCTTTCCCACCTCACCCTCCTCCAAAAGCTATGAATCGCAAAGCAAGAATTGGTGAAACATCAAATAATATAATGGAGTTAAGAAAATAATTAACAAAAAGGTTCATGATTCCTTTGTATTAACCTATTAGCACCTAATTTAAAGGTAACATAAAAATATAAGAAATGATATATCAGGCAAGCATATTTTTTCACAGCTATATTTGAAGACATCTGGAAATTGAAAGAGATAACAAGCAAGAAAATGCATCTTGCAAATTTCCCCTGAAGATCAAGGGATCAACTCAATAATAGGTACAGATCTTTCCCAATCTGAAAGACTAGAAGGCGACCAAATAAAAAGCAGTAAAACTTGGTTTTGGAACTTGAAATAACAATAATTCATCAGTGTATCGAAAAAAACAAACCCAAAAGAAAAAAAGTTGAAGTCCTGATCACAACATTCGATTTTGAAAATCAAACAGCATTACCTGAGGAATAGTACGCTTGAAAGTACTGAATTTCCCCACAAAGGCATCCAGGATACGTCCCTTTATACAAGTGTAGCATGAGTCAAGTTAGTGGTTAAACAAGCCAATAAATTCTAAAATGAGCTCCTACTGAATTTATACCAGCAAAATCCGTGCTTCATCCATCGACTGCTGATCAACCCCTTTCTCAAATATTGGTTCTACCTGTATCAACATAAGTTTTGAATGAAGCTTAATTCAGAAAATAAATAAACTAGCATGCCTATTAAGCAATTTATAGAATTAAACAGGACAAGCACAGTAAAGAATATAGAATTACCAGATTCAGCATTAGCCGGGCACATGTCGTATGGATGCTAAGAGAGAGGGTCGAGTCGTGCATATTTCTTGAAAATAGGTATATAATCCGTGATAACTGTGATGTTGCTTATAGTTAATCAGAGGAATATAGAAGGAAGTACACTCACTTAAGCATGACAAACACACACACACAAAAAAAAAATGTTCTAAAAGGAAAGCCTGATGGTGCGAACAAAAGTCATCAATATGTTAGATTTCTAAGATTTTCCACACAGAAAAATAACTGCATATCGTAATGAAGTATTTTCACTTATATCGGAATCCAGTCCAGATAATCACAATCAACGTTTAACACAGTTTAAAGATCTTCATCAGTAAAAACCTGAGCAAGAGAAAGATCTCCGCGAACATGGTGAACAATCTCTGCTAGTAGGCTGTATGCCAAAGGCCTCAAAGACTCGAAACATGCTCGCCCAGTTCCAACTAGAACCCTAACACAAAGACAAAGAATGATACCTGACAAAAGTCAATATTTGTTGCTTGCTAAATTATATGCAAACAAAAGATGTGCTTGATTCAACCAAACAGCTCCTTGAGACATATAATAATTTCGAATTTCAGATGTCATAAGCCTCATACCTCTCATCTAAAAGAGTGTCAATAAGAGGAAATAAGCCTCTCTTGAAATCCGTCCCAAGTACATGCTTTAATGAGACTAAGAGTTCCTGCATTTAGTGTAATGGAAATTAAATCTTTAGCTGCAATCCCTTAATTGTGTCACCAGATAAAACATACCGTTAGAAAGGAACAAAAGGTTTTCAACCTTTCTGATAGATGCAGAATCTGAACAAGTCACAAGCAAATTTACAATGCTTTTACATATGCTCTCTTCATGGGGTCGGATATATTCAGCGCAACTTTTTAACAAATAAGTCAAAAAAGAAACCGTCTGCAGAAATAAACCAAAAAAAAAAATATCAATATATCATATCATCTCCCAATTATGAACAATAAAATTCAGATGAAACAATGAGTCGGTGTAGGTCTTGATATAGTAATAGTTCCAACAACATAGAAAGCTTTGATTTCTTTCCTTAAGAAGAAACAATGTCCCACCTTAACCTGTGCACCCTTCAACTCTATGAACTGAGGCTTCAAATGTGAAGGGACATTCTCAGGTCCAGGGACAGATATAGCAGCAACCATCAGGGGAAGTAAATGAGGAATGTTGGTCTGAACGAGTCGGCTATACAGCTGGAAAAGGAACATAACAACAAGGGGGCTCTCTGTGATGATCTTGAATGACCGAGTACTTGGGTTAAGCTGCCCATTCCCAATAGGTGCGGAAGGAGTAAGGGATTGATCAGAAGATGTAGGCGTCTCCAAAGGCTTCACCTCTTCCATTTTAACATTATCGAAAAAATGGCTGACAGTGAATCTGAAAATCGAATAGATCTTGCAGACAAAGTCTAAAAAGGGTTGAACCTCATTTTCTAGTGTGGGCCTAAAGTTCCTAAGAAGGTCAAAGATTATGCGAATGCAAATTAACCCGTTTTCTTCATTGTCTGTGGTGAGCACCTGCATTGCAACCTTTAAGAGATCCTGAACAAAGGGACGAAGAACCTCACTGTGGGGAAGACGATTGAGGATCTCAACCACAATATTCCTTAATTTGTGCTCCGGATTATCCATGAATTGCGGTTTCGTAATCTGTAGAAGAATAACTGAGAATGCTGGGAAGTAGCATTTTAAGAAATTCAAGTACTCAGCCGTATGCGCTATCTCTAGACTGTCCCTGACCTCCACCACCATCTCAAGCCTTGTTTGAATAGCTACAGGAAAAGCAAAAAATTCCCATCGGATAAGGAAACAAAAATATAACTTTTTTGCTTTCGCAGTTAACACTGAAACAAGAACTGATTCCAAAGTCTAAGACTAAAAATTTCACACGAGAAACACACAAATTCCCAGATTATTTCAAAATCCATAACCAAAGGAAACTGATTTTAAGTTGTATAGTGAAATCAAGAGAGAATTACGCAGGTCAGGATCCACGAGACGACGGGAGTGTTGCTCGAAGTTCTGAATTGGACTCATGGTGAACAAAGAGACGAACCACAAAAGCTAAATAATTTACAAAGCAGAGCTCTTCCGCCGATCAGCGACGCGACGATCTCTTACAAGTACCAGACTAGGTCAAAAGAAGCGGAATTAGCGAGGGTTTTTTACAAAAGCTACTTGAACTAGAGAGACAATTCTTGAGGTTTCCCCGAGAATCGTATGAGAAGAAAAGACCAACGAATTCGAGGAAGACGACTATGGAAGATGATGATGATCCTTCTCTAAGCAATTTTCCCTCTCATTTTTGTTTTTTCTTTGGGAGGTTCGCTGTGAAACTCTCTTTGAATAGTGTGAGTTCTATGAACTCCGACTGAGGGAGAGGATTCATGAGATCGCCGACTTGTACCGCCCAGTTGTTATTAATTTCCTTCATGGGCTTTAATATTAGGCCCAACTTAATATCGATTAGGCCCGTAATGCTTTTAAGAGAGGAGGAGAGGTGTTGTTATCAAGATAGTCACATTCATATTTAGCTAACGAATACTATTATTAGACAGGAGCAAAACCAATCATTATAATTTCAGTTAAGCAAAATTCAAGTGTAGTGAACGCCAAGAATCTAACACCCTCTAAATTACTATATTAAACAAAACATAAATACTCATTAATATTGTGTGTTTATGGAAGGTATTACAAACAATAAGTAAAGAGATCGAGTAATGGAGAGAGGGACAGGTTGGGGAAGTGGTCGGGCGGAGATAGATACGAGACCAGCGTTTGGGTCGGTGAAAGAAGCTGTGGCCATGTTCGGAGAAAAAGTTTTAGCCGGAGAGATCTATGCAACTAGGCTTAGAGAGGTAACAAGTAAATATATAACCTATTTAAAAAGTTTACTTTTTACTTACATGTTATTTGACGATTTCAGATACGGACAAAGGGAACAAAACCGATTGATCCGAGTCCTCTATCAAGACTACGATCTCTAACACTCGAGCTCGATAAGACAAGAGAAACTCTTACAAGAACACTACAACTAAACACCATCCTCTCCAACAGAATCAAATCTCTAACGCAAGAACTCGAACGTGGGAGGAAGGAGATGCAACAACTCAGCAGGACGAGGTCGAGTCGTCTAGACAATCCGGAGATTGAGGAGCTCAAGTTCGTGGAACAGCATCAAACGACAAAAACGTGTAAAGATGTTATTGAGGAAGAGTTTGTATTGACGGAGGAGCTAGAGAAGAGGAGACTCGTGACATTTGCGAGCTCGCCTTTGCTGACACGTGTGATGTCAAGCGTCAGGGACGAAGATGAGAGGAAGATGAAAGAGAAGGATTTTGAGAAAGACTGCTCAATCAAGAAGACAAAATCGAAGAGGGGTTTTGCTCCGTTCATGGGATGGTTTAGAGCAAACCGAGGAGGACATGACTAAATCTAATAAATGTCCAAAACAATGCTTGGTCATGTATATTCGTTATATGATTTTACATCGTTATATAATATAGTTAATGCGTATCAAATCTCGTTCACAAAGTTTAATATGAATAACACTTATGTTAGAATGTGCATCTCGCAGCAATGGCTAACCTTGGTTCTTTACAATTTTCTCGATATATACTTTTAGTTGTTATCAGATAGAACATTTATATGCGATTTTCTCGTCAACGTTTATACGTACATATTATTCTTTTGTGAGTTTAATGTAGCTGTCGTCTTTGTGATAACTAATCTTCAAGTTTTGGGTTGTTGTACCATCGTTATGATGTTAGGTTCATGTTTGCATCTAAAGTTGAAACTTGGAGAATAAAGGATGTGAGATATGATTTCATACAAAGATATATAAATATTTGTTGAAAAAGCATTGTTCCTAATCCGACCATATTACTCAAGAATCAAAAACAAAATTTATGATACAAATATATTGCTCTACCACAATATTTTTGGTGTTATAGAAAATATAAAAAGTTCACTAATACAATTTCGGATTATCATCTACTTGACCGTAATGTTTCACATATATTTTTATATTTCGGCACATTTTGTAAAATTCATCGAACAAAAAATGGCAAATGGACCAAACTGATCCAAACAAGTCTTTTAGGAAAATTATCACAAAAAGGGAATCACAGACCATGATGCTACACAAGCCTCACATATTTGCTTCTTATAGGAATAACGTACTTTGAATCCCCAAAAAGCATCTAAAGATCTTCTCGGATCCGCAGAAAACAAAATTAAAAAGAAAAACTCTTATATCCACTTGTAATGTGTATACATCACAAGTAAGTAACTCGTTAAGACACACATAACTACATATGTCAGTGATCTAGACCATATGAAAGGAACATATATGTGTTCAAATACCTTTATTCAAACAATTATATATTGACGTGATTCATTCTCTCTCTCTCTCTCTACTCAGAGTTAAAAATGAAGGTGTGAGCAATTTGGTCAAGATGATATTGAGATTATGTTTGAAGAGTTTAAAAGCTTATTCGATTTGAGATCTCCTTGATGTAGACTCCTTAGTCTTCTTAAGGGTTTATGGTTCATGGTCTACGTACATAAAGAGGGATTGATCACGTAAGCTTATATACATAGGAAAAAAAAATGAATAAGTAACTTTGAGTCGGTATCTCTTGACCCGGTTGAATATGAGATCAGTAGTTTCTGTAGTTTCATATGTGACGTGGACATTTTTTTTTCTTATCGTAGATATGATGTCTAAGTAATTAATAAGACTCAATCGATTGATCAATCTTTGTAATTAAATAAGATACAAAATGATGTAACAAATGGAAGAAGATTAATGCTAGACAACCTTTTTACTTAAACAATACATTAGGGATTTGCCATTTTTAGTTTAGCATTTATAAGTTAATCATGTGTTTACCGGACCAGAGGGGTTGATCATCCATTCGAGTGTAAGGCTCACGGATTTAATAGGCGTGAGAGATCATCCATTTGAAAAGTCTTTTGTGGATTTAGCAATCATGTGATATAAAATTGAATCGTTGGTACATATAGTGAATAGTAGCAACTAAATGTGCATAAAAAAATATCTCGAAAATATATAAATTTGTATACAAGACATACAACATAATTAACACACTACACTATTTTCTGATGATCAAATATGAACAGGTTTTAGAAACAGTATCTTACTAAATAAACTATTGGACCAGATTTGCTAAGTAAAATCAATTTTTAGTCACAAAACATTTATATACCAAATCAAAATTTTTGAAGAATTATTGTGAATAGAACGTCAAGCAAACAATACCATTTTTTAATTTAATCCACCATTTATATATATATTCTAAATCAAAATAATAATAATTTCTTACTGACTAATTTTATTAATAAAAAATTAGTTATTAGTATATTATTTATTCTGCAATCAAATTAGTTCACTCCATTTGCTAAACCACGTAATTGTACACACACAAAAAAATCTTGTATATTTTCATTTATTCCACTTAATTTATTTTTTCGTATACTAGAATATTTGTAGTCGTATTATTACTTTTTGGATAAAACTTGTTATACAAGAGAAAAGGAACATGTAACGAGGCAGTGATCCAGTTCAGCAACAAGAAAATGAGAGAGATCCGTTAAAAGTAAAAAAAAAAAAAAAGAGATTTCAATGTAATCATGATGAGCGTTGTTTACGATGGAACAAAAGGGTTCAAACTACAAAAAAAATATACTCTTCTCTCCTTCAATACCACTAGATACAAAAACAAAATGGCTGCACTAGCACCAATGACCTAACTGCCACAGTCTTCTTTTTCTATTAGAGTATAGTATTATTCTTGGTACACATTTCACAATAAACCGACCTTATATAGTATGTATGTTACTATGTAGTATGGTATTCAATTTATACGTAGAAATATCCCAAAACCCATCTAATCTATTTATGAACTATATAATATGTAGTAGTGAATTAGAAGACTGTTAGTGTATTTTTCTTTTACAGATTTTAAAAGCGTCATTGAACAAGATCTAGTACAACATAGAGAGGTAGAGAGCAACGAACCCAAAAAAAAAAAAAATCATTTTTCTTCCTCGTGTCAATTTTGTTCACGCGGCTCGAGGATACATGTATATAGATAGATATAGCTCTTTTGTAAATTTCTCTGTTTAAGGAAAATATGGGACGACCTTCACGCGCTCTCATAACGTGTGAGCCTTAAACGTACGTGATCCATATGTTAGACTAAAGAAGAACTGAAGAAGTACTAATCTATGTAAGAGTATGATCCAAATTGTATCCAAAGATTATTAATGGGACACTAAGCTCGATTAAACTAATTTTTAGTGACGATCAGTGGTCATTAATGACCATCATTAGTTTTGTCGTTTGAACGAGAAGGAACAAATAAAACATGCAGACGATAAATGTATATCGATTGACGTTTTAGGAAACCAATCCAATGGTATAAGATTACTAGCTAGGGTTCATGTCTTTTTTTTTTTTTACTATAATCTCAAATTTTGGTTTGCAACTGTTATTTTCTTCAACGATTTTAAATGTTAATATTCCTTTAAAAAAATATTAATAGTCTTTTAGACAGCAAATTCAAACTTATCGATGACAAAAAAAATTGATTTAAGTTGTAATGGTTTGCTGATGGAGCATTATATCCTACTTCATTGCCGGTCCAAGATCCCTTCGAACTATAATACTCCCATGATCGTGTAACTAGTATTTTTACATTCACCTCACATTCCATTATTAGCCATTGATCGATGCTAGCTTGTTTTAGCTTTGAACAACCAGAAACCAGTTAATTAGATGGTAAGTTCTGTTATAATAAAAACATTGATTTCGGTTCAAGTCTTCAAGATCGGTTATATAAAAATATAGAGCAATGATGATACGATAACATTGTAATCTAATATGTCACTAGATATTTTTTTGTAATCAAACCCCAACTTCATATATATATAGTAAAATTTTAACATATTCATTCACTGTAACAGACAAGATTAGAGATAAAACGAAGTCAAGTAAAATTAAAACCTAGAGTACGATTCTAGCTAGTAATTACAAATTAAGTACGATAGAGATACTACTAAAACCATATATAACTTCAAGCAAGTAAACCATAGTTGCGAACCATACTACAACGAAAAGAGAGAGAGAGGCAAAGAGCTTTAATCCACTGCGACCCTGGCGTACGAGTACTGAGCTAGTTCAGACGAAGCTCAAGAGAAGCGCAAGGGCCTCTACCATGGCAATCACGGCCATCAAACTTCCAGCTAGCACCACTACCGTTCATGTGATCTTCACCATGCATAGGGAAGAGAGGAAGCGTACGTCGATGTTCCAGATAAGCATCGCCTATACCATATTCTTCTTCATCTTCTTGATGACCTTCTAGACCAAAGAGAGGCTTTGATCTATCAAAGAAGTTGTATGGTGCAGATGAGTAATGATGACTATGATCCATGTTTGATCCGTATCCTCCAGTACCTACGTTGTTGTAGTTCATTGAACAGTCTTGTTCCTTCATTCACCCAAAAAAAAAATCAGTTCCATTAAATTTATATTCATAGATATATATGTAGGATTAATTAATTTATATTATTTTGAACTAAATGACTTATTGTTTGGTACGTACCATAGATCCATAGACATGGCTACTCATGTAGCCATTAGAAGCATTAACAACACCACATTCAGTACCTGAGCTTCCATGATTTAAATTCCCTTCAAACAAATATACGTATCATCAGTGAGCATATATATATTTTGTGATTCCATAACATACTATATAATAGAGAGAGATAAAATTAGTGATTTAATTTCTACTAACTAAATACCTAATTTTGTAACAAATTACATATAAAAATATATAATGCACGTGAGTCTAGTTTCCATTACACAACAAAGAAACCGTTCTTTAGATGCAAATCTGGTTTGCCCCAATCAAGATCCATAACTTCACATATACGTCATTACATATACATATATCTATCAAAATCATATACATGTACATAAAATCTTCTTGGGTTTGGTTACTTTTACTAATTCATGTAATATATAGTGTGTAACTAGTTCCTTGTAATAAATATTTGGCATGCAATTTTTAAAAAATCATCTAAATAAATTAATGAAAACAACATTTTTAGAAGCGTTCTCACAATTTTAAAATTTTTTATGTCATCAAATAAAACCTTATATCGCTATCAAAGTTCATTAGTTTAAAAAAAAAAAAATTTTGCTCATTAATCTAATAGGTAGTGGTGTAAATGTTCTTAATTATATACTAGCATAAACTTAACACTTAAATAAATAAAAAATATGAATAAATTCATAAAAAAAGCATAGTAAGAAATTAGTCACCATTGTTGAAGGTGGGATATGACTTGTTCTGATGATAGAGATGATGGTCTTGGTTAAGTTTGACGTTGACGGAGTTAGCAGGCCTTTGCATGGGAACACCATGATGATGGTGAAGTAGAGGATGATAGTGATCATTAGCCACCATAACCGAGTTGGGAGATGAAGATGGAGTGGTCATGGTTGTGCCGTTGAATCTCTTCTTCTGACGCTCACGAGCCTTATGGTTCTGGAACCAGTAAAAGACGTTCTTGCCTTCGATCTTCCCGTACTGTCTCAGCCTCGCGGTGATCTTCTGGATCTGATCGGCTGTTGGTGACCGGATCGCACTGTTGTAGTAAAGATCCTTGAGGATTCTGATCTGCTCCGTCGTTGGTGTCCACCTAGTGCTGGTTTGGCGACACGTGTAGCCACCAGAGCCGGACTTGTTGTTGTTGTTGCCGCTTTCTTGGTCGGCTTGATGATGATGATGCTGATGCTGTGGTGGCTCCATGTGTGTTTGCTTAGAGAAAAATAATAACAAGACTAGACTAGAGAGAGGAACAAGAGAATGATCTTGAGAGAGAGAGAAGCTTTTGCTTTAGCAAGAAAACAATTTGGTTAAGAGATTTTAGGTTTTTGTGTGTGAGAGAGAAGATATATATAGAGGGAGTAAGGTGATGATGAGTTATTAACTTATTATATATACATAGATGGGGACCAAAAACAATTTATTTTTGCAATATTCTAGAAAAAATCAGTTATTCAAATGAAACATATTATTCTTTTATGCATGTAAGAATTCATTTTAAACATATATACAAAACCCAAACCCTATATATTTACAATATTATATTTCATTTCATTTAATATATAAGAAATTTGCCATATACAAGATTTGTTAGTTATTACTATAAGATAAAAGAAAGTGTCGTGATCACTTATACATGGTCTATCATTAAGATTAGAGAAGCTTATCAGTTATCAATTACCACTAGCTATATCATTAAAAAGTTTATAATAAGGAATTCTTACCTTAAATATCTATTTTCTTATTAAACTAGATCATTAAGTAACAATCATCATGCATTAAGAATAATTTGAGTTTAGGATTCTATAAACTCATGTGAATTACTAGATTTTATTCTTATTTGTTTTCATTCTGTTAATCAGGAACATAATTACTGAAATTTTCATATTTTGAACAAGGAAAAAAATCATGAATATATAAATGTAACTATTTAACTCTTGAAATGAAAATAATAATGTATATTTACTTATTTATACACTTGAATGTTTATATAATTTAATTAAAAAAAATTGAGGACAGTGTGGGGGATCGAATCAGAGGGATATCTGATGGAGAAGGATTGAAAGGGACAGAGAAGTTAGAGAAAGGAAACATGAAAATGGAAAGGGACAAAGGAGGCAATTCGAAAGTTGAGGGCATCATCGGTTTTTACTTTGACGAAATAATAAAGAGAATAAAAGAACCCCAAAAAAACCTCTCTTCTCTCTTTTTTTTTTTCAATTCCTCTGTCTCTTCTCAATTATTACTTCACCAGCTTTACTATATTATACCCCCCATACAAATATATATATTGACATAACATAACACACAAAAAATCTACACGATCGATGTGAATTCTTGTAACTTGTAAGGAATGAAAGAAATATATACTAATATATGATACACAATTTTTATGTTTGTTTTATGTCAATTACAATATGTAAAACAAAGTGTGACGACTTGTGTACGTATAGTTACGAGCATATATGTTATGTAGTTTCTAGTTCAATGCTCGAATTTTATTCATTCTTATTAGTTATAAAGGTTTGTAAATAAGGGCTATATATGTTTTAGTATAGTTGCTTGCTACTTGCTTGTTTAGTGGATATGACTTTTGTAATTGAAAAGGAACAATACCCAACTTTCCTATAGTCTTATTGTTCTACGTAACAGCCATTATAGATAAAAAAGATATATAGAGAGATTTTCACTATTTTTTAAAGAATTCTACAAAATTTCATATAAAGCTATCATAGTTTTATGGGGAATTGGCTCTTAAAGATACGGTCGATAATAATCTTTCAAAACAAATCGAAAAAAAAGAAAATAAAAATCCGGTGCACCACAGGTTTTTTGGCTATTTTATAGTATAGTTGTTTATATAGCTCCCCATGATTTCTCGGATTCATGAGCAACACAACGTGCAAAGATGTATCAGAAATACCATATAAAAAATACAAACTAACACTATTGTAACTATTATTTGAAAAACAATCTATAGATTTTAGTCTTAGAATCTTTTAGGAAGTAATTGCCCTAACAAGACCAATGATCTAACCTATATAAACTGATCAGTTTCATCCCAAAACAAATTTCGTAACTAAATAGTATTTTGTAAGACTAATGTATTTACACTTCTTCTTTTTTTAGTTTGTTTGTTCAATATCTCTAGCCAATTAGAGTAATAGATTTGTATAAAAATGTCTTTTAATTTGGCATTTGTTCTTTCGAATCAGCGTACGGTCTAAGATTATTTTTCAACTTCCACTCGGAGATCATTCCCACCAAAGTCACCAAACAATAAACTAACTAACAAATTAGATCTCTAGTTTGATCGTGAATGTCTTTTTGACAAGAAATAGAGAATGTCTTGTTACTCTAGCTACATGCGTATATATAGCTAAATGTATACAAGCCAAACACATGAACATATATAAAGTCACATTGACATAGTGGTTGCTACTTAAGAATTAGAAAACCCTCTCTAGATAGGCCCTTTGATTTATAAAACTCCTATATGACTATGAGTACGTACGGTAACGAGCATGCAGTGAGAAACAGAGGATCTTAAATTACGCATCACGATCTTTTTCATTGTCGTAAAGTACTGTTGAAGAGGGCAGAGGGCTAAAGAAAAGTCTCAGAGCTTTTTTTTTTTGTGTGTGCTAAAACTAATGTCTACGTGGCCCCCTAAAGCCACTCTTCCTTTATTGCACAGATCAGAGAGGTTTCGTTTTCATTTAGGGCATCATTAGTTTCAGTTTGTACTTTTGCCCTAATTTCATGAAAATGTTTTTTTGTATGATGATTTCATGAAAATGTTTTACAATTAATTAATTAGTTCTTATATATATTAAAAAAAAAATAGTTGGGTTTTCCCGGAAATTAATGGGGAGAAATAGGGTTTGGAAGAAGCATGGTCCCCAACTACGATCCGAGCCTTATATTCAGTCTGTCATATGTTATTCGCTATTTACACCTTACGTTACACTGTTTACATTTTTTAGTATTTATTGAAACTTTGATTAGTTCTTCGATGACGTACCAAATCAATATATATATATATATATATACAGATTTCCATAATTCATGACTTGATTATACGGCATTATGTAATCATTTATGTTATATTTTAATTTCTTCATATATATAGTTTCTGTGTTATATATATATATATAGGTAGATGCAACTAACGTACGATGCATGCCTGAGATTTATATAACTATTTTGTTGAAATTCAAGAAGAAGTAAGAAACTAATATACACATGAATTCAAGCTATATATATATATATATATATATATATACGTGAATATTTAATGAGACATTTCCATGTTCAAATCGCATTATATTATGACTCATATAGTCATATGGCAGAGGAAAAAACCTATTACACCTTAAACCTATTACACTAAAACACACACAACGCGGGAGTTTAAAGTAACCAATTAAATTCACATACTACATAAGAAACTCAAAACTATTTATTGAGAATTTTATGTGCTTTATCATTTTATGTTTAAGTAGTAAAAAGAATCAAATAAATCTCATTATTTAGATAACAAAACTATTAGACTTTGTTGAAAGATAAAAACAAAACAAGTCTTTAACAAAAAAAAAACAGAATTATCATTATATATCTATTTTTCTTAGTTAACCCTTTATTTTTTTGTTAAATTTCTTCTATATGCCTGACTTAAATTTTATTTTTGTTACACACCATATAATTAAATTCAACATTTATAAACAATAATACTATACAGAAAGAGAAAGAGAGAGAGAGAGAGAGAGTAAGAGTGGTGCAGAAGGAATTTCATTGTCGAAGAAAGAGCACGCTCTTCGATAACGTAAATGCAATGCAAAACCAATAAATGAAGTGAATACATGAGAATTAGTATCATCATCAAAAACACACCTTCATCATCACCTATCTTCATTCAAACACACACACCGTACGTTAATATGGATGAAACAATCATGATATGCTCTCATATATTTATATACTACATCAAAATATATAACATGCTTTAAAGCCGTTACAATATTGGTTCCAAAATGTGGAATATTACATCATACGAAGGAGAAATGTCTCTTGTTGTAAGCTTCTTATTTTAGGATACAAAAAGAGTACCTTTCACCTACAACAACTGCACCTGTTTAACATTGGTGGTTGTGACTATTTATTATTATTACTTCTTTCTCTCTATCTCTCTATCTCTCACTGTCGATTTTATTGATTATACGGCGTGATAAACTTGCATAGAAAAATATTCAACGCACATGACGTTCCCCTAGCTACCCTCTTGATGAAGAAGACACTAAAATGTACATATATATATTGGTAATTTTGCAACCGTAGAATTGTCTTTCGTATACATCTTGCGAAACACTCTTTTAATAACCATTTGATAGTAGTGATGTCGTTTTTTCATTCCAACCATATCATAGTGTGATAATGTAAACTATCAATTTAAAGCACATACTCTAATTCTCATAATCTTGTTATACTAGTGATTTAAACCAATTTAAACTAACAATTGTTCTATTCTATGTATCGCTTGAAACTTGAAACTTGAAACAAATATTTTTTTTAAAAATATATATATTTTAGGAAATTGCATATTTTTAGTTTGTTTTTTTTTTTACTTGAAACTAACAATTGTTCTATTCTATCATGATAGATAAAGATGATTATTTATATTACGTCGTGCATGTACATAATTTTCTAAAGAAGGAACAGGGGATAAGAAGAGTGAAAGAAAAAGCAAAGTGTTAGTTTCCTAGAAAGTTAGAGAAGAGTACTCATTGCTTCGACTGAGACATAGATGAAAAAAAATATGAGGAGAGAGATTTTGTTTTCACATTGTTAATGATTAATCTCTTTTTTTAATAAATATTTAATAGTTAATGTTTTTGATTGGATGATATTCTTCTCTATTAGCTTAAAAAGAGTAATATTACTCAAATAAAAAAAACTCTGTCCCTAATTCTTTTTAAATAAAAAGATTAATACTACTCAAAAATAACACATATTTACAAAGTTTCTTGAACACTAATTTAAACGTTCAGAAAAATGTTTTTTAAAAAATCTTATAATGAAATAAATAAGACATGCATGCAACTTTAAGAAAAATCAGAGAGGGTCAGTAGTTATTTGGAATGATAAATGGTCAAGATCAAATGAACAGAAGACAGATCAATACATGGTGATGGGCTAATATGAAAAAAGTGTTTTCTATGGCACATAGACACAAAACACACAAACACACACATCCCTTTTATCCAAATCAACAACAACACATCAAAGCTGCTTTTTTCTTTATTTTTATTTGGTTGTGTGCTTTCCTTTTCTTACGGGGTAATCATTTTCTCATCGCTCCTCTCTTCCCTTCTCTCACTCCCCTATCAAAAACCCAACATATAATACTAATAGTTAATCTTGATTTCTCATTCTTTGTTTTGTCTAATTTTTATATATAAATCTTGAGACAAAGTTTCAAAATCAAACAAGGAAAAACATAGTAATTATAGAGTTCAAGAGATCATTATAACAAGAGTCTTGGACATTATAGGTTTGCTATGCATAAAGAGTCAAATTTGTGAAATATACAAGCAATAAAATAAAATAAAAATGTATTTTATGATCATATTGCGAAAAAATTATAATCGAAAAGTTTTAATTTTGAACTACGGTTTTTAACAGACTGAATGATTATACTAAAATCCCACAAACATAAAGGACCAATCATCTATTTTATATACGGAATTTAGAAAAATTGTAGCGGTAACGTTATCTAAATATTAAGTTGCATAGAATCGGAAATTGATATGTGGAAATGGGTAATAAACGGATTTTATAAAAAAAGACAAAAGGTAAAATTAATACTATATATCAATAAAAAAAAAGTGTAAGACACATTGTTAGAAAGTAGGAAAATGGTAGAAAAAGGGAATTGATGATGTTAGAAAGAAAAAAGAAAAAAAACGAATAGGGATTTGAGATGAGAAAGATCATTCCATATCTCTCGTCTATACAACAAACACATCGACCCTTTTCATTGATAGAAAGTGTCATACTCTCTCAAATAGAGACAAAGAGAGAGCACAAAGCCTTTTTCTTCTCTCTTTCTATTGATTTTAAGAAAAATGAATAAAGTTTGATTCTTTAGATCCCTTCCTAAACCCACGTGTTCTTTCATTATTTCAATTCTTTAACCGGTAAGAATTTTCAATTTTGTTAGAAAGTGATTGTGTAGTGTGCCTTTTATATATTAAAAAAAAACACAAATACTTAGCTCAGATTAGCAAAAATATCAAGTGATCACTCATGTTCGAAAGGTTTGATAAAACGATAAGTTTTTGTGATCAGTTAAAAGATATTTCACAAAAGCATATATATATATATATATAAATGAAGTATATATATGATAAACTTGGTCAAATCAATTATCATATATGCATGCTCTCGTCGATCGAAATTCTTTAGTCACATCAGTTGGAAAATATGGAGAAAAAGGTAAGAAAACAAAATAAAGCTAAACAAACCACAGAACGATTCACACTAAACCCACAAAGCAAAATTGTAATATACATTACACAATTTTCAGAAACTAACAAACATATGGTCAAAAAAATTCATAAAGAATAAAATTTTCTGAAAAAAGAAAAATCAGACGTTAACATGTTGTACAAATTTATATTTATGTGGAAAATTTGTTATCTAATGAAAAAATAACTCATATATTTTAGCTTCAGAAGTTGAACCTTTAGTTTCTACTCGAACGTGGCTTTCCTCTTCTCTGGCTTGATGGCCAGTCTCCAGAGTCATTGTGTTCACTGCTTCTCTCAGCGTTATAGTAACCTCTTGAGTCATAATTATTACCTCCTCCTCTACGTCCATGTCCTCTTCGGTTTGTGCCGTTATGGCTGTTTAATCCTGCGGACCTTGAAGCAGAACCAGAGCCGTTCAGCTCCAACGACAGTGGCTCGATCCCTTGCAAATCAGGCTCTGGGGTGAACCAAACTGGGCGTTTCGACTCATCCATTTTCCTAAATGTGATTGATATTCTGTTGAAAAGAACCCGGAAGAAACATTTCATATGAGAATATTGGTGTTTGTTCTGTTCATATAAGGAAATTTGATGCAACGAAATATATATCAAACCTTTTTGTCGGAACTGCAGGTACACAGTGCCTAGCTACATCAGCTCCATTTCCATTTAACACCAGAACTGATCTGAAAAATATCCAAAAATCAATCTTTGTTTCCATATTACACAGACAAGGAATGGCCAAAAGTTTTGATATTGGGAATGCTTAAAGAACTTGCTTACCCCACAGGAAGCGGTATTGAGTACGAACCCGAGAATTCACCAGGACCCTCAACTTTCAGGTTTGAGCCAAAGAGGATATCACATTCACTGAGGAAAGAGATGGTACAGAACGGACGGAGAAAGTCATGGTTGTCGATGTGAGGAGGTATGCAGTCACCTTCCTCATAGATGTTGACAATGCAGCTATCAGGAACACAAGTTGTAGGCAGTACATGCCAATTAATCAACCTTCTAATGATTACTTTGAAAAGATGAGGTAACGGATCCACTTCTTCACGCTGAAGGATACCAGGTGGGTTTCCAGCTCTATCCTATCAACATACAAGAAGGTTAAACTCTTCATTCCTTTTGTTAGAATGAAAGCGATAAATGAAAAATATCAGAGTACGAGTTGCTCACTGTAGCGTAGTTGTAACAGCAGCCAAATTGAATAGTCTCACGTCCTTTGCCTCTCATCCACTTTTGGGGAGCAGTAAATGTACGCTCTGCAGTAGAGAGAAGAAAAAATTCAGATTGAATATAGGTCAAATTAAGAGAAGAGCATTTTCAGATCGGAACAAGAAGCTACTTTTAAGTTCTCCTTTTCGACCCTTCTCTTGAAGTTGATACACTAGACCAACAATCCGTTTCTGCTCCACTGCGCTAAAAACACCAGTGTGCAACTCAAGTCCATCAAGCACGTTAACGATTTTCCCCTTAACTCTCTCCAAGCAAATGAAATCTTTCTTTCTCTTCACATGCATCAGCCTGAGATTCTCTCTCTGGTCTCTAGACAACTTAGTCTTCCCGGGAGTCTTCATCGAACCCGCATCAAAACCTTTCCTACCCGAATCTCTCTGCTCCTCCTCATCCTCCTCATCCTCAAACTCATCCTCTTGTGACATATCAGCCCATGACATTCGAGGGCTTGCTGATTCAACAACAGATGGTCGAGAGGGAAGTACACTACTCGAAGCTTCAGAAAACGAACCAAATACAATTCCACTCTCGTTCCAACTACCTAACGAATGGTTATCACAGTCTTCCAAATCTTTATTAGACTTCCCATCATAACTTTCATCCACAATGTTACTTGTTCTTTCTGTTTCCAAATTTCCCACCACCGTACAAGAACCAGCTTTACACTCTCCATCAAATTTATCTGTGACACCACAATGTTCTACACAAAGGAAACATGATTTCTCATAAGCAACAACTAACTACACATAATAACTTTATTCCCAAATTTAGAAACATAATTGTAAATTCCTAACAAATAAATAACACTACTCTCTAGCCTCCTATTTGTTCCAATTACCAAACCCTAACTTTGCAACCTTAGTAGCATCAATAAAAAAAAAAAGCAGAATCAAGTACTGGTGACAGAGAAATCTCTGTTTCCATACTATACACAAAATTTCAAATTCTTACATGAAACTTTCTCTGCTATGAAAGATTCGAGAACCCTTACCTGGGTCAAGAGAACGGATTCGATTGGAGAGAAGGTGATTACAGTCCTTGCATAGATCTTTCGATAAGAAAGGTAGCCAATTCGTCAAAAACTCCGAAGCGATCTTAAGCTCCGACGGCTGGTACTGCCGGAGAAATGGGTCTTCCTCCATTTTTTACGGCTCGATACCGATTCGTACAATCGAAATCGTATCGTCGTCACACAAGATTTCTAAGTCCACGATTTGAAAATTTGTTCTCCTTTTGTCAGTGTGATTCTGAGGTTGTATTGGCTCCCTTAAAGACACACTTGTAAATTCAAGAAACAAAGCAAGGGTAGCCTCGGTATTTTCAACCACCGCCAATTAAAGCTTCTGGCCCATTTGGTCTCTCAAAAGGCCCATTAATTCCGAAGCTTCACGTGTCAGGAAATGAGTGGGTCAAAGGATTTTAACGGTTGAAGATGAAAAAGCTTATCTTTCTATGCAAAAATCGATTCTTTCTTCTTCTTCACCAAAGCTTCAAAATCATACAAACAGGAAAAAAATGAAAACTCTCCACTTTTTAGCTCCCAATTCAACCATTATCAATCTGAAGCAACAATCTTATGCTGCAATCACACAAAACCAGTTCTTGTTGCATCGTAACAACAGACGAGCTCTCTCGATAAACTGTGTAAACAGTGGTGGTGATGATGAGAAGATTTCTCAACCAATGGATGGGGTGGAGATAAGATTCAAAAGAGGATCAAGAAGGAAGATAAGGGAAGAGGTTTCAGGAGAAGGGCAAAGCGGTAAGAAAAAAGAGACAGTTCAAAAGCCATGGGAAGAGATGACACTGAATGAGAAGGCACTGGAGCTTTATGTTGGAGAGAAAGGTTTGTTGTTTTGGCTGAACAAATTGGCTTACGCATCGATTTACATTGTCATTGGAGGTTGGATTCTTTTCCGGTTCGTCGGTCCGGCCTTCAATCTTTATCAGCTTGATACACCGCCTCTTGATCCTAAAAACATCTTGAAGGGTTGAAAAGGCTTCTCAACTTTTCAAACATTTTGAGGTTTGTATTAAAGTTTAGTTTTGAGTAATGTGTAGCCACACCGGAATGAAAAAAGCAAACAGATATTGAGAATTTTAATGAGTGGTTTATAGATACTGTGTTATGTCACTAAAGAACACTCTTCATAATTCTTCAAGATTGTGTTGGAATTGTTATGTCCTGATCAAGAATATCTCGTTTTGTCTTGCACCTGACATGAATAAAGAAAAGAGTTTGTCTTTGGCTTATGTTTACCTTGACTCAATCTAAAGAAAGTAAATGTAAGCCTGAAGAGGTTTCATCATCATCATCAATAGGTAGTGAAACTCACCTATTGCACTCTGATCGAGATGCATAATTGTGATTCTTGCAATTTGTACACATCCAGTCTCCATCACGCCATTGTTTTGCTCTATGTGTAAGCAGTCAAATTACAGAATTAGGAAGATGACAAAACGTTCTTCAAGAGATTATGGGAAAATTCTAGAAACAAGAAACAATGGAAACTAGAGATCAATCCTGTACCCCATTCCAAGTAAAGCAGGTGTTGAATGTTGCTGTAGAAATGGTAACGATGCATAAATAGCTGAATGTGGTTGCATGCTTGTCTGTACAAAGAGCAAGATGACACAGAGGTTAAAGTTAATACAGAAAAAATATATTATGAATGTACTCATCAATTTATGCGCTTTGACTATTTCCTTACATATCCTTGATTCAGTCTTTTGCTATCCCATTCATGAGCCAAAGCTTCTGATGCTAATCTCTTTGTTCCAAGGGCTGTAACCCAAAACAAGCTTTCTTAAAATGAAACTCATTTTTATGGAGTTCACAGCAACGATATGTATCCAAATAGACAAAAACCATACCTAGTGGAGCTGTTTCATTGCACTTTTTGCACTGCAGAGGCATACAAAACAAAAACGTGTAAAGCTACAAACCAGAATTTACAAGTTGGTTTATGCATTGTGAAGCCATTTCCTCACCTGTATACGAGACGAATAATTATGAAAACCACAACTGCAGATCCAGTCACCGCTTCTCCATTCTTTAAGAACCGAAGTTTGATTTGCAGAGTTAGGGAATGCGAGCAAGGAACCAGGTTGATCAATTGCCTGAGGTCCACCAGTGAAGTAATGGAGATGCGTCTGAAGAGAAACTCCAGGGATTGAAAGTGCTGACAATGCTACTACTTCCTTAGGTTGCCCGCATTTTTTGCACTTTTCTCGCGATGCATAATTGTTGTTAGTGCAACCTATTGCCACACCACACCACACCACACACACCAAACACAGCAAGAAGAAGATACGCACGCACCCACACCACAACACACCCACCAGCAATTGCCATATACCACATAACACAGAATACACAAAACACACCTCAACCTAGTTTATAAGTAAAGCAACCTAAATAACAATTCCAATCTAAATGAATCATCAAATGGAAAAGGGTATTTGAAAGTTTGAGAATTTGAACTTAGAACTTACGATTGAGATCAATCCTAGTTTTGCTTCTAGTTCATTAGCACAATCGGAGAAGCTAATTCACACTAATTTCGAAATCTCTCACTGAATAAAAGCTGTACGTAATGATCGAAAGAAATTTGATTCTAACGCTATCAAAGAATTGAATAACACAGGAGAAAGAACGAACCAGTGCAGATCCAATCTCCGATACGAGGAAGCCACTTAGAGTTTGGGGAAGTATTGTTATCCATGAAAAGACGAGGCTGCTTGCATCTGTTGCAGAATGATCTAAACGCGTAATTCCTATTTCTACAACCTAAACATTCCCAATCTCCTTCTCTTCCGTCTCCCATATCTTTTTTCCCGGAACAACTCCAGTCTCCGGCGACGAATCAATCAGGGAGGAGGGAGGAGATAGTTGAAGAAAATTCGCATAGATGGGCCATTTTATTTTTGTAAAACTGACTCGGCCCTTTAGGCCCATTTGTTTTTCAACTGTTTTAACACCACGTGTCTTTGTTCTTTTCCTTTGATGTAATATTGGGCCTATTTTGGGCTTGCAAACTTGTTTGGATCATCAATAAAGATAACAATTAAGGGGGAAAAAAAAAAAACGTGTATGAGCGTAACTTGTTGGGAAGAAGCGTACGAGAGAATAAGATCTTCTTCTTCGATTTCCAAACTTATCTCTGGATCGAGTTTTGGATTCAGATCTCTTTGTTTCTACTGCTTTTTTTTCCATTGTTATTAGCTGAACTTCTCAGAACTCATTTCGTGGAATCATCCTAATCTCGATCGTAGATTTGCAAAGAGGATACATAGTGGAATAGCTCAGAATTGACAAGTTTTGATCTCTGATTTCACTGAATCTGAAGCTTCCATGGCTCTCAATCTCCGTCAGAAACAGACTGGTAAAATCTCTCTATGTAATTCTTACAATTATTTCATAGATTGTGTTCGATCTATCACACTACAAGACTCTGGCGGAATTATGTTTTTACGAATCTGGGAATTAAGATAGTTTTGGTTTGATTCGAGTAAATGTTGATGTTGGATCTTTGAACGCTCTGGTGTTGCAGAATGTATCATCCGGATGTTGAATCTGAACCAACCTTTGAATCCAAGTGGAACTGCGAACGAGGAAGTTTACAAGATCTTGATCTACGACAGATTCTGTCAAAACATTCTATCACCATTGATCCATGTGAAGGATCTGCGTAAGCATGGTGTAACACTCTACTTTCTCATCGACAAAGATCGGAGACCCGTTCACGATGTTCCCGCTGTGTACTTTGTCCAGCCTACGGAATCCAACCTCCAGAGGATCGAAGCTGATGCTTCGAGATCTCTCTACGACACCTTTCATCTGAATTTCTCATCTTCCATTCCTCGCAAGCTTCTTGAAGAGCTAGCTTCTGGGACTCTTAAATCTGGTTCTGTTGAGAAAATCACGAAATTGCATGATCAGTATCTGGAGTTTGTGACTTTGGAAGATAACTTGTTCTCTCTGGCTCAGCAGTCTACCTATGTTCAAATGAATGATCCATCAGCTGGGGATAAAGAGATCGAAGAGATCATCGAAAGGGTCGCTAGTGGTTTGTTTTGTGTCTTGGTAACCCTCAGTGTGGTCCCTGTTATCCGGTGCCCTCGTGGTGGACCCGCAGAGATGGTGGCGTCTTTGTTGGATCAGAAACTGAGGGATCATCTTTTGTCCAAGAATAACCTGTTTACTGAAGGTGGCGGTTTCATGAGCTCGTTTCAGCGTCCGCTCTTGTGCATTTTCGATAGGAACTTTGAGCTCTCGGTGGGCATTCAGCATGATTTCAGGTACCGGCCTCTTGTTCATGACGTTCTCGGCTTAAAGCTGAACCGATTGAACGTGCAGGGAGAGAAAGGAGGAAACAAATCGTTTGAGCTGGATAGTTCGGACCCCTTCTGGTCATCAAACAGTTCTCTGGAGTTTCCAGAGGTCGCTGTGGAGATTGAAACCCAGTTAAACAAGTATAAGAGAGACGTCGAAGAGGTTAACAAGAGAACGGGAGGCGGGAGCGGCGCTGAGTTTGACGGGACAGATCTGATTGGAAACACCAAACATCTCATGAACGCTGTGAACTCACTCCCAGAGTTAACCGAGAGAAAGCAAGTGATTGACAAACACACCAACATCGCAACTGCGCTCTTAGGACAGATCAAGGAGAGATCTATAGATGCTTTCACTAAGAAAGAAAGCGAAATGATGATGAGAGGTGGAATCGACAGAGCCGAACTTATGGCTGCTCTGAAAGGCAAAGGGACAAAAATGGACAAGCTCCGGTTTGCAATCATGTACTTGATCTCCACAGAAACCATAAACCAGTCAGAAGTTGAGGCCGTGGAAGCAGCATTGAATGAAGCTGAGGCTGATACAAGTGCGTTTCAGTACGTGAAGAAGATCAAATCCTTGAACGTATCTCTTGCAGCTTCTTCAGCGAACTCAGCAAGCAGAAGCAACATTGTAGACTGGGCCGAGAAGCTTTACGGACAGTCTATAAGCGCTGTCACTGCAGGAGTCAAGAATCTGCTATCTAGTGATCAACAACTGGCGGTGACTCGAACCGTAGAAGCTTTAACAGAAGGAAAACCAAACCCAGAGATCGATTCTTATCTCTTTCTGGACCCAAGAGCTCCAAAGTCATCTAGCTCCGCTGGTAGCCATGTTAAAGGACCGTTTAGAGAAGCTATAGTGTTCATGATAGGTGGAGGTAACTATGTTGAATATGGGAGTTTGCAGGAACTGACTCAGAGACAGTTAACCGTTAAGAACGTTATTTATGGAGCCACTGAGATTCTCACAGGAGGTGAATTGGTCGAGCAGCTTGGACTTTTGGGAAAGAAGATGGGATTGGGTGGTCCGGTTGGTTCAACGTCTAGTCACTGAGAGTTTTACGCAGTTTGCTTTATATTTTGTTTTTTTTTTGGCGTTTGAGAAGTTTATTTTTACTACATCAATGAAAAGTTCAGTTTATAAAATCTCAAATCTCCAGTGCTGTTGTTTTAGAAAGTTATAAAACAATCTCGTTATAAATATTTGATATTAGTCGAAGTACGATTGATTTTTTGGGGTTAATTTGTTAATGTAGAAGATATGTTCTTCATAATTTTTTTTTTTTTTCTTTATCTTCATAATTTTTTATTAAAGAATTTGAAGATAATTTATTTTTTTTTTGTCTTCGAAGATAACTTATTTAATCATATTAGAAAGAAAAAAATCTATGATATTTTTGTATTCTTAAGAATATGATTATACCAAAACAAAAAAGCAAAAAAATTTAAAGGAGAAAATTAAAGTAAAGAGGGAGCAACAAAAGCAAAGCAGCTGGTATTTTCCCATTTCTTGTAATTTGTCTTCGTCCCCACCTTTCATCTCACCCGCTCTCCTCGGAAACCATAGGCGACGGAGGACAGTATCTTCGCCTCTAATTTTCTCCGGGAAACCTGGAATTAGCCGGAGCGAATCTCGAAGCTTATGATCTCGTCTTGTGAGGATCCATCTTTTCTTTTATTTTTTTTCTTTTTGATTTGTCTTATAATATCTCAGCTCTTTTAAAGTTTTTTTGTTTTTCCCGATCGATTTCGATTTCTCTAGGATTGAGTCGATTTAAATCATATGCTTATACAGTTTCTCTCCAGAAAAGTGATCGATTCTCTCGTTTATTTCAATTGCTCAGATGATTGAAGATGATAATTCAACAGTTAATAACGCTTCTCTTTTTTTAGTGGCTTGTGTTTGACCAGCCAATTACATGATCACTGGTCACCTTTGTCTTTGATCTCTGTTTTCTTTTTTTTTTTTTTTTTTAACTTGAACGAAGCTAAAAGGCTCATGGGTTGGTCTTGAATCTGCATTTTTTGAGAGAACTCATCTTTATTGAGCTAACCCATGTCTGAAGCTAGATCTGCTCGTTAACTTTGGTTATCAAAGCTTATTGTTTTATGTTTTTGGTTTAAAGCTTTCTTCTTTCTAACTTATTGCAGGCTGAAGAGGCTGGAGATGGCTGGTAAAGAGGATTCTAATGTATCTGCACAAGAGTCTTTAACCAGGGAAGCCACTGAGTTATGGACGAGTGAATTGGAATCTCGTCGGTTGCAGGTAGATAGTTTAGAAGCTGAGCTTGTGGATGTCAAGGCTTACCTTGAGTTTGGTTCAGAAGAAGATGCCAGAAAGGAATTAGGGGTTCTTTCCAGTAGGGTCAGATCGACTGCAATAATGTTGCGCTATTTGAGATCAAAAGCTAGAGTCTTGGCTATTCCTGATCTAGAGAATGTGTCATGCATTGTGGAACAGATAGAACTGAAAGGATTAGACCTTGGTGAGAAAGATGGTGGTTCATCTTCTGCAGGGGATAGGAGCACTAATCCTGAAACCAGAAGTTATTGTGGATCCTTGGGTGTTGAGGATGGAACTTATACTAATGAGATGCTTCAGTCCATAGAGATGGTTACTGATGTACTGGAATCTCTTGTGATGAGGGTCACAGCAGCAGAATCTGAGACCGCTGTTCAAAAGAGGAGGGCACTTTTGGGCGAGGAAGAAATCTGTAGGAAGACTGTCCAAATTGAGAATTTGTCCGTGAAGTTAGAAGAGATGGAACGATTTGCTCATGGGACTAATAGTGTTCTAAACGAAATGCGGGAAAGGATTGAGGAACTAGTTGAAGAGACGATGAGACAGAGGGAAAAAGCTGTTGAAAACGAAGAGGAGCTCTGTCGTGTGAAGAGAGAGTTTGAGTCGCTTAAAAGCTATGTCAGTACTTTCACCAATGTTAGAGAAACACTTCTTTCCTCGGAGAGACAATTCAAAACCATTGAGGAGCTCTTCGAACGGTCAGTCTCATATCTTCTTTTATGAAACTATTTCATCACTTCTTCACCACACCACAATTTATGTCTCCATTTTTTCCAATTTTCTTATTGGTGAAGCAGGCTGGTTACTAAGACGACACAATTAGAAGGTGAGAAGGCACAAAAGGAGGTTGAAGTTCAGAAACTGATGGAGGAGAATGTAAAACTGACGGCACTTCTGGACAAGAAAGAAGCTCAGCTTCTAGCTTTGAATGAACAATGCAAAGTGATGGCTTTGAGTGCATCAAACATATGAATTTGCTATCATTGCATTGTTGTTCGACTCATCTCTTGTTTACATGAGACAAAGCTTTCCCTGAAGTTGATGATGCAATCTTCTTCCTTCATTTTTCTTTCTTTAAGATTTAAAAAAAAACAAAAACATTCTTGTAATCTGTAGATTATCATGGCTTATGCTTGAGCAAAAATGTTCAGTCTTTGTTTCCTTTACTCCAAAACGACAGGTACTGCGTACGTCTGTATATAAAACGGCAAAAGTTTTAATTAAGATTGCCAACGTGGCAGAATCGTCAATGACGTGGCGAATAAAATTAACCAACGTCTTGTATCCACGTGTAAACACGTGAATGACGTGGCAATGATCCGTACAGTTGTGTCTAAAACCCCAAATCCTTTTGTTTCCCTCCTCTTGCGAGAAATCGATCGGCGAAGAAGAGAGAAGAGGAGTTGAACCATTTGCGATTCTAAAGCAGTTTCTTCGTTCCGATGGAGTCTGATAACGATAATTTGTCTGAAGTTGATTCGTCTCCGCAGAAGCTACGCATGTTCGGAATGGGTAGAACAATTGATGATCGCGAAGATGAGGTATTTGTTTTTGTTCTGTTGTCGATAAACCCTAAAAATGTCACCTTTGATTCTGGATGTTTAGGTTTACCTCTTATAGATGAAGGTGGTGGAGTTGTTGGAAACTGCATGAAACTATGAAATCGGACAGTTTCATTTTATTTAGACTATTAGAAATGTTCCTGGGTTCTGATTTTTTGTTTTTGTTTTCCTGTGATTTGGTAGAGTGGGAGAAGAAGGATCAAAGGTGTTGAAGTTTATGTTCCTATTGTGTGTGGATCGGTTGCTTTTTTTCTTGGAAAGAGAGCCACAGAGTGAGTGATTTTATGATATTTTTATCACTTCAAGAGTTATGGTAATGCTGCAAATCTTTGAACTTTTTTTGGTTTTCTTGTTTTGATCAACTAGTTATAAAACACATAAATGGACTGTCTATGTACGTGGAGCTACGAATGAGGATCTTGGTGTGGTTATCAAGAGAGTCATCTTCCATTTGCATCCAAGTTTTAAGAACCCAACTAGAGTGGTTGATTCTCCTCCGTTTGCATTGTCTGAGTGTGGTTGGGGAGAATTCAAAATCGACATTACTGTTTTTCTCCAAACCGATGTCTGTGAAAAGACCTTGGAGTTGTGAGTTTCTATCTTGTGTGATTGTGAATTTTAGTGGACTAAGTTGGGTTTATATGTATCTTAGGATCTGTTGAACTTCTTTCCAGGTCTCACGTCTTGAAGCTGAACCCGGAGAATGAATATGGTCCTATTCCTAAGTCTATCAAGATTCCCATTGTCGCTGAGTCTTACAATGAAATTGTCTTTCCTGACCCTTTCGAGAGTTTCCTCACCCGTGTTCATAATCACCCTGCTGTACACATCTCTAAGCTTCCAGATGGTTTCAACCTGCCTCCTTCAGGTATATTCTTGTTCTGGTGTCTAGTGAAGGAACTGTTATTGCCAGATGCAGGATAATTCTGAAATTGTAATGTTGCAGGAGTGGCTGAAAGTTATCACCAGTTGAGAAAAGGAGACACTAAGGATCATCCACTCAGTCAATGGTTTTTGACGTTTTCAGAAGCAGATGAGCTTTTTAAACTTACGGCAGTGCGACAGAAGGTTTCTGCAGTTCAACTTAACTTTTCATTTCTTAGGTTTACTATCTCATTAATTAAATTGCTCATACTTTTGAAAAGCCACAATAATCTTAACGTGGATTTCTTATACAGCTACAGTTTCCTCTGTTTAAACTTAGTAGTTAAACTTGGTTCATATTCTTGTTTGGCTTGTGACAAAGCCTTTGTCTTAATTGAATAGAAGTGTGTTAGAAATTCTTAATAACTGACTGTATGTGTAATATAATAGGTACAAGCTGATATTGCCAAGCTTAGACGACAGTTGATCATGATAGATGGGCAACCTGAAGGACTTTAGTCTTCCTCGATGAGGACCATACAACAGAGAGGAGTTTGCTCGGAAAGTTTTCGTGATACATTAACATATCTCGATGGGGGTTTAAAAACCTGATATATCATAATATCTGAACAACTGTGCTAACTGTGTTAGAACATGTAAAAAAGAACCAATTTGTAGTCAATATCTGTGTTCGTACCTACAAAGTACTAATGATTATGCTTTTGTTCATTATGTTTGCTTCTTTGTTACAAGTTTCTCTCAAACATAAGCATCATATTCATATGTTTGTTACTCCTATGCTAATACGGAGCTACTCCTTGCAGGTGACCATGTGAAAAACACAACTTACACTAAACATTTCTAAGTGGTTTGTTTGATCACATCATGCATATTGTTTGACATCATATAGCATACTTAAAGGTAAAGCTCTGTATCTTTCATGATTTCTTTGTACTGCAGAGGAGGCGGTGAGAAACCGGTATCGTCTACTAATTGTCGTTTTCATAGAAAGATTGCGTCGAATTGAAGCATCTGCAGACTTATTTAGTTTTCTAGAAGAGACACACATTCACTTCTCATGGGGAGGGGCCTTGACAATGACGTTTATCAGGCTCTTGTTAAGTGAAATCTCAAAATAATCAAATCACATGTGACCTTGGAAACCGAAAGAGAGAGACAAAGATGTCGAAATCATTGTTTCTCATTGTGGCCATAGAACATGGGAAATGAACTTCCCCACTTTAGGGTTATCCAAGAAATGAAACTGGTGGCTCAAAGTTGAAGGTGAGGAATATATGTCTGCTTATGTATAATGACCCCTGTTTGCTTAGTTGGTGTTGCTGGTGGTGTTTTAGGTTTTTGGATAGTACCCACATGGGTGAGTCTTATGATTTCAAGACAATGGACCCCTTCACACTTCAGCCTCTTCTTCTTATTTTTCTTGCCTCTTCTGTTTTCCAATTCCTTGTCTTCTTCTTGTTTCTTTTTTTAACATATTTTCACAATCTATTTTTCTTTGATTGTTTTTTTTTTTTTTTGCTAAAATACCCTCCAACTAACATTTTTACCCCTCAATTTGCAAAAATAATGCAAATCAAACAAATCTAGTCAGATTTAGCCAATATAATCCCGAAACGATAACATTTTGTATGAAGAGTCCAAATATATTGTGGATTAAAATCAACTTTGTGGGTATGAGCTTTTTGCAAGTTGAGCTAAATTAGTAAAAAAAAATGTTTCTATATTATATTATATTTGTTTTTGTTTTTTTAGGTATATGTATTGTTTTAAGGGATCTTATAAATATGTTTTCTAAAAAAAATTAAACTAATTATAGAACATACAACAACAATTGATTTAAAAGCAATAAATACCATAGAGAAGATTCACAACGACTAACGATACCTAAATCTCAAAGAATCCCTCATCAACAACTTTGAAAACATTTAGTTACCTATAATCTAATGTGGTATTGTTTTGCAAATTAATCTGTCAATTCATAAAACTTTTTAACGAGAACAAATCGAAATTCGTCTAAACAAATAATTTCTCAAAATTCCAAACTATAGTCTTCATGCTTAATGTTTTAAATAATACATAGAAAATTATAAAACATTTATCCTTTCATTGCTCAGTATAAATGTGATTATTTGAATAGTGAGAAATTAGGGAAAAAAAGAAAGAAAGATATATCATAAAGTAGAAGTAAGGTGTTGAAGCTTTCGGTTGATGTCAACGACGAGGAATGAATTGAAAATGTCTCCAAGTTACAACCAACCACAACAGGTGGCTCCATTTATATTCAGTCATCGGTCACATCGTACCACTCACTGTCCCATGCAGTAGCACTCTTCGATCCCACACCACTCATCCTTTTTGACTTTTCTTTACTTGTGTTTTTCTTCTTCTTAATCATGTTTCTCTTCTACATTAATAATTGAATTAAAAGTGATCTAATATGTGACATCGCTTTTGATTCGGATAGGCTTATAAAAAGTGAAATATACCAATAAGGACGGCTAAGAAGAAGTTACCAAAATTTTATACTTAAGAAAAAAAAACGTTTTATAGTATATGTGGTTTTTGATTATACAGTATGATCCACTTAAATAGTTAAAAAGAAGAAGTTGAACGTTGACAAAAGAAAAAATGTATCATTAAGGACGGCGAAAGAAGTACGTGAACACAAGGCATCGAGACGAGACCTCGATGATGGCTTCATAATCATAACAAAACAAAAGATTAGGTTCCAACCTAAAGCATTTATGTTCTAATTTTCACATGGGAACATATATCCTTTTTTCATTATATATATATATATATATATATATATATAAATATCAAAAACACAAAAATGACAAATTAGAGCAATCATCGTCTCAATAATATTTTCTATAACCAAAAATAATAATCTCAAGAGTATTTCAAGATATGTATAAGAATAGTTTTTTTTTTCTAACATATAATTAACCATTATTTGATGTTGTAAAAAAAATGTAACAAACAAATGATTCTAATATATGTTTTCAAGTGATTTTTTTATTTATTTATTAAAAATAAAATAAAGTGAAACAGTTGTAATTCAATAGTTTCTTCACATGTGTCTAGAACAAAAACACTATTTAATGAATATACACATTTTTGTCCACTATTGTAAGATTTTGAAATGGTAACTTTAAAGATTAGTTTTGTCTTAGATCTAGACTACATTGTTAGAATTGAGAGAAGAAAACAACATGTATATGTTTTTGTTTTCTCTTTTTTTTTGTTGTTGAGGGAAGATAGAAATTTTATATAGGTTTACGTTTCAATAATGTAGGTTGCGTAAACAAAATACACGTGTACGTATATGCAAAATAAAGACAATGGTTTTTGCGATATCTTTGATATGTCGAGTCCTCCTTATGATATATGTATATTGTCAAGTACGTACTTTTTGTTACAACTTACAAATCTCTTTTAACTCTCGTCCGTAACCTTATGTACCTATATGTATATATCTAACGGGGCCAATTTGGCTCATTACTATATGATATTAAAGGTAAGGAGAAGAGTGATGGACATTTGTGTTTCGCAAAATTGTCTAAGTATGTAAAGGCAATAAGGAGACATTGTAGGGCAATGTATAGTCCCTACCAAATTTTGTTTTTGTATACATTCTTTCACGGTTCTTAATTGCATCTCTCTCTCTCTCTCTCTTGTCCTTGTTGGTTCTGTCCTCTATGTTTTTTTATTTTGCCCTCACCTCCTACATCTCACATGATTTTGCTTTCACCTAAGAACAAAGAATCTAGCTATATGTGTCCTAATGAATCAGAACACGAAATTTGATTGGTTTAGTTCTTTATATTTTTCATATTATATAAACAAATCATTAGCAATCAGCTATAGGAAGTTCAGTTTCATCGGATTTTAATCTCCCATGAACCGCCATCTTATTTAGATGGCCTAGCTAGCTAGTGAAGGCCTATAGTGAAACTAGAACTAGATCCTCGAATCCGTGTACGTACATGCTTTGCCACACAAAACTAATCATCGAAAAAATTACCCAAAATATACATACGTGTTTACGTGTGATTTGATTTTTTTATCCCAATGCAAAAATCACTCCATGTGTTTCTAATCCGTTAGTCGTTGATTATTTTGTGTACAAGAATACATACATATAATCTCATCACAAATTTTGTCAAACGTCATAAATAATCAACCTAATTATGATCTTAGAGATTTTGGATTAACTAAATTTTAAAAGTATATACATGCAAATTTTAAACGTTATTAGTTTGAGTCTAGTTTGGATATTTTATCCTTACACTATATACATGCAAATTTAAATGTTATAACAGACATTTTAAGACTAGTAATACATATAATATAAATATTGTCACTATATGGTCAACGTCATAAGTAACCAAACCTATTTAATTATCATGAAATAACTATACTACCCAATTGATAAAAAATATAGTTAAATACTCCATCAACTATTTTCATTTAATAGCCTTGAAAACTATCCATATAAATACGTCTCCATTGTACCCCTTACCACCATATCATTTCTTCAACCAAAAGAACCAAAGTCCACCACAAAAAGAAAAAGAAAGAACAATGGCGATAAAGAGATCGAGCAAAGCAACGTCGTCTCAAGCAGCATCTATAAAGCAAATGGTAAAGAGATGCTCGAGCCTAAGAAAGATGAGGAACCAAGATGATGATGGTCTTCCACAAGACGTACCAAAAGGTCATTTCCCGGTTTACGTGGGACAGAACCGAAGTCGGTACATCGTTCCCATCTCATGGCTCGACCACTCCGAGTTCCAAACTTTGCTCCAACTAGCTGAGGAAGAGTATGGTTTTGACCATGATATGGGTATAACCTTACCTTGTGATGAAGTCTTCTTCAGGTCTCTCATCTCCATGTTTAGATAAAAGGTCATGATCACTATTCTTGAAGAAGAAAACTCTATTCTTGAAGCCGATCAGATCAGTATAAATCCAAGAACAAGAAGAAACAAAACAAGCCAATTTTTTTTACGATTTTTCTGATTAAGAAGGAAGAACATGGTTAAAGATCGAGCTTTCGTAGGCATTATTAAACCTTTTGGGGGTTATTTTTTTTTCTTAACTAAATTTGTTAGTCATTATTTTACATATTTTGTAAAAGTTTGGGGTTGGGTGGGCGACTTTTTCCCTCAAGTCAACGTAAAAAAGGTTGACTGATGATCTTGAGAGGATTAGCTAGTTAACATTTTTCTACAAATTAATTGGTTATGATCATTAATCAATCAAGATATTATTAATGTATAGGTGGTTTTTGTGTAACGATGTACAATGTGTTATCATCTGAATTAATGAATCCCCATACTATGTTGATATTTGTAATACATGAATGCTCCAAGTCCGATAATATTCATAACTCACGTACGTACGTTCTTAACCTTGGCGACTAACACTAATTAATCATGTGTAAATAATAAACTAACTTACTCATAAGTTTTGCATGTAGTCTTATTACCAAGTAAATCAAATATTGAGTCAGATTTTTATGATGGATATATCATCATTATAGTCGTCCTACTCCTACCAAACACACAGTCCCCTCCACATATTTTGTATCTATGCGTATTAATGGTTGTTGCCTAAGCTACATAAAAGATTGAAAGAATCTTCCGTAACATAGATTAGGTAACTTGGTGTCCCATTATGTTTAACTTAAGATCGTATATTTGACAACATAGTAGTACATATACATCACTAAACTATCATGTGCATGTCCTAAACAAAGTATAAGACTTGTATCATTTGCAAAATATGTTACTAATCACATTAATCTTCTTCATTCCATATACGGTTATACATACCAGTCTACTTGATGAGTCTCTCCTCTTTTTGATGATTACTGATCACATTTTACAAATTTTTGTAATTTATAAAAAAATGTTCATAGATTTTATGGAAGATGCACATTACTATCATACATATCTGGATTATTTAGATTGCCATACCATATTCACGAGACAATTTATAGATAATAACAATATAAAAAAGTGGTTTGTCTCCTTAGAAGCTAGCTTGCCCATATTATGTGTTTCTCCAAACAATTGTTTATTGTTTTATTTTGATGGTCTTTTGTTTATTATTAAATATGTTATTGTTGACATCATAGATGGCTAGTGGATATATATATACTATCCACGAATTAGAATTGCTTGATAAATAATTATATCCAGTTTCATAACAACATCATCATTGTATATTAGTAAAATAGTAACCTATATCTCAAAGTATTATGAGACGCATTGTTTATACTTTATACATATAGTATTTTATCTTAGATTGAGCTTGATATTAGTTTATCTTAAAGTTCAAAATTCAGTTTTCTAATTTGTGATTTCGAATAGCAATCTGGTTAATCTGAATATGAATCTGGATTGCTCAAAAGTAACATTAAATTTGGACGTGCCCCCATATTATGCCATTGTCTCCTCAGAAGCTAGCTTGCCCATATTATGTGTTTCTCCAAGGTATTGTTTATTTTTGTTTTGGAGAGTTTTTTTTTGCATAAAATATGTTATTGTTGACATCATAGATGCTAGTGGTATATATATATCGTCAACAAATTTGAATTGCATGGTAATTATATCCAGTTTTATAGCATTACCTCATTTTATATATTGACCTATATATTTCTTATGTCTTACGATATTATGAGACGCATTGTTAATTTGTTATAAAAATATCATGAATTATATACTACTTGTTCAAACATGATAACATGAGTTCAGTTATTTTCTTTGTTGTTAAAAAGTGATTACACTATATACAAATGCTATTTTACAAATATAATAGAGAAAAACAAAACTGATTAATCTAATAAAATTATTTTTATAATTATTTTTAACAATTATATCCTTTTCCTTTAGCAATTATTAAGTTCAGATATCACATTGTTTATCTCACATGCTAATCCTACATAGTATCCACCATCTAGATTAAGCTTATGGCTTATAAATAATTTATGTCAAAAGCCAATAAGATATAGAGTTATCAAAAAATTATTAATTTGCCAGTCAGCATCCAGATTGAGAAACTGTAAGTTAGTTTATCTTGATTTAGCTTGATGTTAAGGTTCAAATAAGGTTTATGTAAATAGTACGAGTTTTTCTAATTTGATTTTGGTTTAACATCCTGGTTAATCCGAAATCGTAATGATGAAGAACAATGTAGTATGAGAACTGAGAAGATTACAAATATTTAAACTCGGAAGAAGCTTTACTATTATTTCCTGCTTGCCGAACAAGTAGTATCTTTGATAACTGATGAAAGATTTGCCAATGACCTCAACCAACATCATCAATTGGGTAAGAATTTCCAAATTCATTTGCTCACACCTTGTCATCTTGTTTGCTCGGTATATCATCTTTGTAGGTTTCTAATTGAAAATGTTTTAAATTTATATGTTCCTTGGTTCCATCAAAAGAAGATATTCTATAGGAGACTATATATAGGAAGACACTGCTCTACAAAAAGAGTGTGCTCTAATAGACCTTTTGGCGGATCGAAGACCCTCGCGAATGAGAATTATTTATAAAATATGTGATTGTTTTGTTATGTGTTTGCCCATATAATGCTCAAAAACTTGTCTTGTTTTGGAGTATTTTTTGCATTTGATGTTATGGTTGACATTATAGATGGTCCTATATATATCTTCAACAAATTAGAACTGCATGATAATTATATCTAGTTTTATAACATTATCATCATTTATATATATTGACCTTATATATATTTATCATAACTCAAAATATTATGAGACACATTGTTAATTCATCATAAAATACCATGATTGGTATACAACTTGCTAACGTTTTTACATTATGAAAACATGATTTCGTTATTTTTCCCGAAATCATTTTAATTTTATTATTAAAAGTGTCTACACAGTTTACAACGAAAGTATTAAAAATATATTAAAAAAACAAACAAAATGTGATTAACCTGATAAACTAGTTTTACCCCCTTTTGCGTTATTTATTTCACATGCAAATCATACATAGTATTCCTCTATGTTGCATGGAAACGAAACGGATACGCGGAAACGAAAAACGAGTTTTTATGAAATTAAGATATGGAAACGTGTTGGAAACGCTAATAATATATACATATATCTATATATATAATATTAACATCAAACATCCAAACTATATTAATTTTAAATATTTGAAATAACACGTTAATCAAAATATATATACTAAATAATTTAACTAAAAGATAAATATTAAAACACTGAAATCCAAAATTTATATATTAATATATCATATATTATTGTATATGTGTATTTAAATTAAATTAATCAGGTTTTAAAGGTCAAAAAGTAATCACTCTATATATTATAAATCAAAATTTTTGTTTATTGATTTTCTAAACTAAAAGTTTAAGATTTCGTCGGGTTTCCAAAATGGAAACGCGAGTTCTATCGTGTTTCTAAAAAAAGAAAAATAGGAATCATGTTTCCGTTATAGTTTCCGAGTTTCCAAGAGTTTCTGTTTCCGAAACGTTTCGAAAACGGGAAACACACTTCGAAAAAAGTTTCCATGCAACCTAGGTATTCATCGACATCCCCATGGAGTTATCATATTTTTTCTAATTTGATCCGGTCAGATTCCGGGTTATTCGGTCCGATCTGAACCCAAATTCCAGATTGAGCAAACCGAAAGTTTGAAAACAGCAAATGGGGGACAACTCGTAAATTAGGTGGGTTTGAAAGATCTGACTTATCTTAACTTGGGCTTTTATCTGCGTTTAACCAAATATTACAGGCTTAGATTCTTCTAGCCCATCTTGAAGTAAAGATCCACTAAGGCCCATTAGGGTTAAAACAACTTCAGGTTGCAGAATAAAAGGAAGAATTTTCCTCACTATAGAGTTGGAACTCAAAAACCCTAGAAATTGTAAATCGTCGCCGTCGAGAGCATCCATGGGTCGTGTCATCAGAGCTCAACGTAAGGGAGCGGGTTCCGTCTTCAAATCCCACACCCACCACCGCAAAGGTCCGGCTAAGTTCCGCAGTCTCGATTTCGGCGAGCGAAATGGTTACCTCAAGGGCGTCGTGACGGAGATCATCCACGACCCTGGCCGTGGTGCGCCTCTTGCTCGCGTCACTTTCCGTCATCCTTTCCGTTTCAAGAAGCAGAAGGAGCTCTTCGTCGCCGCCGAAGGTATGTACACCGGTCAGTTCCTGTACTGCGGTAAGAAAGCTACTCTCGTCGTCGGAAATGTTCTCCCTCTTAGATCTATTCCTGAAGGAGCTGTCGTCTGCAACGTTGAGCATCACGTTGGTGATCGTGGTGTCCTTGCTAGAGCCTCTGGTGATTACGCCATTGTTATCGCTCACAACCCTGACAACGACACTACTAGGTTTGTTTCTGTAACACTGTATCTAATCAGTAGTGACGCATTTCATGGTTTGATTGTATGATTTAAAGAAGATTCGTGAGAGGCTGATAACATTTTCAGATCTGTTGATTGTTTTGGTATTGATTATGATGGTTGATTAGAAATACTGTTGATTGTTTAGTGTAGATTAAGTTGCAGTTGTGGAATCATTTATTTGTTAATAAAGTGTGATAGTACTTGTAAATGCTAATATGATAATGATTGTACATTTGATTCAGTTCTTTGATTGTAGAAAACATTGTTACATTTGATGTTTCACAAATGGCTAATCCATAATATGTTTGTATAGGATTAAGTTGCCGTCTGGTTCCAAGAAGATTGTCCCAAGTGGATGCAGGGCTATGATTGGTCAAGTTGCTGGAGGTGGAAGAACCGAGAAGCCAATGCTCAAGGCAGGAAACGCTTACCACAAGTACCGCGTGAAGAGGAACTCATGGCCTAAGGTTCGTGGTGTGGCTATGAATCCAGTTGAGCATCCTCATGGAGGAGGTAACCATCAGCACATTGGTCACGCCAGTACGGTTAGGCGTGATGCACCTCCTGGACAGAAGGTTGGTCTTATTGCTGCAAGGAGGACTGGTCGTCTCAGAGGTCAAGCTGCTGCTTCAGCTGCCAAGGCCGACTAGAGAGTTAAAACATAAACTTCTGTTTCTCAGTTTTCTATGTTTCAAGTTTTGTTGTCTGTGTTTCCGTTTGAACCATGTTCTGAAATCTTAAAAGATTTTTATGATAACTTTAATCTCCTCTCTCTAAATGCTTATGTTATGCATATTATCGCATATTTTCATTACATAAAGTTTTCATTTTATCAATTGCTGAGTCTTTGTTTATATGAGCTTATGCAATTGCTGTGGATATGAAATAGCAGTTCTAGCACGTAGTGGTTGTTTGATTAGAGGTATTTAGAGATCGGAGAGTCAGTACCGTGTGAAGAAGAGAAACACATGGCCTATAATGTTCGTGGTGTTGATATCTATGAACCAAGTTGATCATCCTCATGGAGTAGGTAACCGTCAGCACATTGGCCAGGCCAGTACTATCCATAGTAACTCAAAGAAAAGAGATTTTGAAAGTACAACCGAAGTAAAAATTTTACGAGAGTAGGAGAAAAGAAACTAAAATTATGTGAAGGGAAGCTAGAGCAATCAATAAACCGGATTTAACCATGATGTCTTTTTGCTGGTTATGGAAATCTTAAATAGATAACCGGACTAAACCCGAAATTAAGGGTTGTGATTAATCATTAAGTAGGTATTAAATAGAGGAAAGGTCACCAATACTCGAACGGCTAAAGTGGTGGGTGACTCAGCATGGTATTGGAGTCTCACCATGGTTCGAGAGGCGATATTGGTACCCCAACTGTGAGAAGGAAAGTGTTTCCTCTCTACTTGCCTTCAATCGAGTGATCGGTGGAGGAAGCGAATGGCAGAGTTTCAACTCTGTCTATACCGTCGGATCCAAGACAAGCGTTGTCTTAGGATATGACCAACGAGTCACTCGTTGGAAATCCGACAGAGTATTGTGTAATCGGATCTCATCGAAAGGTGGGGTATTCACATCGGATCGGGGAAGTCTATCACAGAGAATCATGCCTCTTGTGGTAGCCAAATTGAGGTAATCCAAATTACCTCTTTTTTATTCTTAAATTTTTAATTTCTGTTATGTCGAACTTGGAAGAAGAGAGCATCACCATACTTATCTGCAAAACCTGAAGCCAAAAGAAGAAAATTAAAGACATTAGTAACATGGTCTTTGAATCGTGTGTTTGGCGTTCATGATTTGTTTCGTAAAAGTATTGTATACAGGCTAAAAGAAGAGTTACCCTGGTTCTGCAACAAAGGTTGACAAGGACTAGTTAAAATTTATCTTTACATTGTTATCAATCCAACAAGTTGTAGATCCTTCACCTGCAAGATCATAACAGTCTAACTAAGTGTGTAGATCCTTCACCTGCAAGATCATGGCAGTCTAACTAAGTGTTGAGGCTAGAGAAACAAAGTCTAAAGATGTGACTTCTTCATCGAAATAACATATATTAAAGCATACTCATCAGTTCACAGAAACATACATGCAAAACAGTAACAGTTGGACAAAGCCTAACAGAAGGCGACTTTTAAGTGTGGTGTAAACACAAACCCTGACTTATTCAACCTTCCCCTCCTTTATTTCCAATGAACCTTGTTCTGAAATCCTAAAAGATTTTTATGATAACTTCATTCTCCTCTCTCGGAATGCTTATGTTATCCATAGTGTTGCATATTTTCATTACATAAAATTTTCATTCGTTCAACATGAAAAAGGTAATTCTAGCACATAGTAGTTAAATTTGCTAGTAAACCGGTAATTGCGTTGTATGATTAGAGTTAATTAGAGAACGGAGAGTCTCACAAGCACCGTGTGAAGAGAACCCCATTGCCTAAAAGGTTTGTGGTGTAGATATGAACTCAGTAGAGTATCCTCATGGAGGAGGTAACAGAGCAAAAAGAAGACAATTAATTAAAGAAAGTGTTAACATGGTCTTTGAATCGTGTGTTTGGCGTTTATGTTTCGTAAAAATATTGTATATACATGCTAAAAGAAGAGTGACCCTTATTATAAAGATGCAACTTCACTTTACTGCAACAAAGTTTGAGAAGGACTAGTTAAAATTTAACTTCACATTGTTACAGTGGACAAGTTCATTTTAGCAGCGTCACAGCCATATTTGTTATTGGACCAACAAGCTGTAGATCCCTCACCTGTAAGATCATAACTAAGCATTGAGGCTAGAGAACAAGTCTAAAAATTTGACTTCTTCATCAAAAGAACATATACTAAAGCATACTCATCACAGAAACATATATGCAAAACTGTAACAGTTTTTATGGTGTGTAAAGCACAAACCCCCAAGTCTCAGCTCCTTCCTTTATTTCCACTTCAAATCTCTACGTACCAAAATCTTCCCATCATAAATTCTTACTATACCGACTCTGACCAGTGCCAAAATTCACCATCTTTAGACTCCTTGAGAAGCAAGAAAACCTTCTTTTTTTTTGTAACTCTCAAGGGTTTGCCAATGCGTGTCTTTTGGATCATACACGATTATTAGCTAACACACTCTTGACTCATGAAGATTAACATAAAACGGGGTTTCCAATGCATCTTTAGATTCCTTGAGAAGCAAGAAATACCTTTTTTGTAACACTCAAGGGGTTTCCAATGCGTGTCTTTTGGATCATACACGATTGTTAGTTAACACAATCTTGACTCATGAAGATAAAAAACAGAAAACAATATATATATATATATATATATCACTAATCAGACAAGATGGTTTTTGCCACATTAGCACTCAACTTATTCTAACTCCTCCACATGATCTTCAATTTAGTTTATTTGGGTTTAATTGTAACTCGTAAGCATAAACAAAATAAATTGTATCCCTCATATATATATATTTAAATCTTCTCCTCCATCACCACCTATGTCGCAAACTCATTGTCATAGTTAGGTTCAGAGAGAAGGTTGGTCTTATTGCTGCTAAGAGAAGAGGCCAAAGCTTTACATTATGTTTCCGGTTAGGCCTTTGTTCTCTAATGATAAATCAATAACCCGGATTGAACCATAATGGCTTTTCCTGGTTTTATGGAACCGGACTAAACCCGGAATTAAGTCGTGTCATTAAATCGTTAAATACTTAAATAGATATTAAATAGGGTAAAGGTTACCAATACTCCAACAGCAAAAGTGGTGATGTCTCAGCATGGTATCGGAGTCCCACCATCGTTCGAGTAACGATATTGGTACCCCCGTATGATGGGGAAAGACTGTTTCCCATCTATATTTGCGGGAGTAAGACTCTGCCATGGCTATCAGAGCTGTGGTCTGACACTCTTACTCTTACAAGACCGTCAGAACTGTGGTCTTGGGGCATGCTCCCAACTCCAATTGGTATCTGGTTTCGGAACGATAATTCCTGGTCGGGAAAGCCTATCACAGAGAATCATGCCTCTTGTGGTAAAGCCGAATAGGTAATTCAAATTACCTCTTTTTTGTTTAATTCTTAATTTTTATGTTCTTAATTCAAAACCTGCTTCATATCTTGACCTAAAACTAGAACATTAAATTGTAATCTTTCTAGCTAGCAATTGTTCCTCTTATTAAATATATCCAAATTACCTCTTTTGATAAGGTTTCACTCTTGCGAACTATGAACAGAGGATCTGCAAAACCTGGTTACTGTAAAGGAAGAAAATTAAAGACAATGAAAAAAACACACGATTCAAAGAACATACAACTTCACATTCTGCAACCTTTTAAAACTCTCAAGGGTTTTTCAATGTGTCCTTTGGATCATTCACGATTATTGGATAACAGCACACTCTTGACTCTTGACTCAAGAAGATTAACATAAAACAAACATATCATCAATCTCACAAGACAGCTCCTCTTGCCACAAAACACTCAACTTAAGTACCCCTTCGCATGACTTCAGTTTAGTTTCTTTGGGCTTGTAACTCGTAAGCATTAAGATTACTGCTTATATCCCTTTTGTAAATCTTCTCCTCCTATCACCACATACGTTAGAAACACATATGTTACAAACTCAGTCGCTGAGGTAGGTTCCGACACAAGGTTGGTCTAATTGCTGCTAGGAGATCGATCAAGAGGTCAAGCTTCTCTTCACACTAATGTTTGAAATTTTGTTATCTTTGGCTCCGATTGGTAACCCATTTATGAATAAAAAGAACGAAAAGGAACAAAAATAAAAAAGAATAAACAGGAAAATAATTCTCATAAAAAATAGAAATAAATGCTGAGGAAAAATAGAACAAATGTTCCAGTAAATGGTAACCAAAAAACTGAACAAGTAAAATTAAATAATATATACAAAAAATTATTTAATAAATTTAAGTTTAAAAAGAAATTTAGTTTAGAACTTTCATTTAAATTATAATACTTAATATATTAAATTTAATTTAAATGTTTTAAGTTAAAACCTACTTTAAATTTCTTTAAATATTTTTCTAATATAATATATAAATTCAAAACATTAATAGAAAGTGAAAATTATGATGAAATAATATTTTATTTAAAATATATAATAATTTTTTAAAGTATTTATATATAGAAATGTCAAAATTATCAATATAAATATTTTTAAAATATTGAATTATAAAAAAACGAAAATAATATTTGTTCCTCATTGTTCCTCTACAATTTTGAGTAGGAACATTTTTGAACTGTTGTTACTTTTTATTTGAGGAATGAATAGGAATAATATAGATCCCACATATCTGAAAATTGTAAAATATTATGCGTAAATGGTAGCAAAAATTGAGGAACAATGAGGAACACCATATTCCTCTTCATTATATTCCAAAAAAGTGGTCACCAATTGGAGCTTTTGTATTTCCCCTTTGTACCATTCTTTCTCTGTAAAAGCTTAACCGGGGTTGGTTTGTTCTGTTTTTTTACTGAACCGTATTAAACCGGGATTCGAATCACGCAGCAAACCTTCTGAACGACACAGAGGGACTCGAAGATCTCCATGTGCGTAGCTAATAAACGAGTTTTAATGATGATGGTGAGTGAGCCATTGGAGTGACTTTTGAGCGACTCAAATCAATTAACAAGGTTGCTCGTTCATATGGAGTCCCTGGTTCGGAGCAGCTAGAAGGAAACTGTAATGGCTTTATCACAGAAGAGGAACCGTTTCTTTATTCCTTACGCGAATCTCTTCTTCTTCTTATTGTTCGTCTCTCTGCTCGATAAAGCTCTATGCATCAGGATTTCGAATCAGATCTCGGATACTGTAGTTGATTCTCCCGATCGTCCTTTGAAATCTGCGGTTTTCGCTCTTGGAAGCTTCTGGAGATCGGAGGCGGCGTTTGGTTGTATCAATGGCGTCGTACGAACAACCGCCGTTTACGCCGGCGGATTGAAGACGAATCCGGAGTATAGGAACTTAGGTGATCACGCCGAGTCTATACAGGTTGGTTTTGTTGTTTCGAATTGAGGATTGAGCCAATGTTTACTTAGTTATTTCCATTTGCCGCCGGCTTTGAATTGAGCTCTATCCTTGATCTTGTTTGCCTCTTCCAAGTCATACTATTCTCGATTTGGTTTTGCTCTACTGAATCTATTAGTGTGGTTTGAGCTAATGTAGTGCCTATGTTGTTCGATTTTATTTCCTCTACTTTATAGTTTTACATTGGATAGACAAATTTGTGATAACGATTGGAGGATGCTTGAGATCCGCAATGTTCTATCTTAGTAGCCTTAGTTCTGTAGCTGAATTTACCTTGTTTCGTTGAGTTTTGGTTATGTGTGATCGTATTGTAAATGTGATTGAACTTAATGATCTGTTGCTTTTTCTTGAATTGCTCGACTGAATATATTTCGCTTGGATTGACAAATTTGTGTTGAGATTTCGAGGATTCTTGATATCTTTATGTTTCATCTTACTTAATATCTATATTCTGTAGCTGCTTTAGCTTGTGTTGCTGAGATTTGGTAATGTGTGATCTCAGAGTATATGTGATTGAGGTTAAACTAAATTGGCTATGTCCATCTGCTCTGTTGACAAATAATCCTTGTGTTTCCAGGAGCTGGTTTTGAAGTTTCTGATCCTTTTTTTTTTGTGTAACTGTCTTCAGGTTGAATATGATCCAAGGATAATTGGTTATCGTCAGCTCTTAGAAGTATTCTGGTCTAGTCATGATTCCAGACAAGTATTTGGACAAGGTCCTGATGTGGGTAACCAATACAGGTAAAGAGGAAGTAAATCTCCACAAACACTAGCTGTTTGGTAATCTTGAGTTTGTTTGGCCCAAATCTAAAAAGTTGGAATCTTTTTGAACAGGTCCTGTATTTTCACTAATTCTACAGAAGAGTTGAGACTGGCTTCTACTAGCAAAGAAAGGGAGCAACTTAAATCAAGAAGCAGTATTGTGACTACTCAAATTCAACAGCTAGGGATGTTTTATCGCGCAGAACCTGATCACCAGGTTTAACTTTAAGTCTCTTCACATCTTGTAAGCTGTGAATCCAGTTGTTAGAGGATAAACAATTGAGAAAATTCATGTTCTCTTGAATTTATGTATTTGCAGAAGTTCGAGCTTAAACAACATCCATTTCTTATTCAGCTAATAGGAAACATGGCAGAAGAAGAACTCGAGAGATCAGCTTTAGCCACAAAATTAAACGGTTATGCAGCCGAACTCTGTCCGCCTAGAATCCAGAAACAGATAGACTCTAGGGTTAATGAGATCATTAGAAAAGGTTGGCCCGTCTTGAGGGACATATAATATACGCGACTTAAAAGATCTCCGCGTTCTTGAATACGATTGATAATCACAAATGTAAGTTTTGGTTCATTCTTTTGGCCAGGTTATTATTGGTCGTATAGTTATCACAACAATGTTTATGTCTCTTACTCTTGCCCTCTTGACATTGTCCTTGAGTGGTGATTGTTCAGATTGTTGTCTTGTTTCTTTCAGATCTCTCACATCGAGTATGCTTTTTGTTTTCTTGTAAGCAGTATTATTTAGACATTCATTGTATCATTATGGTATTGATTATCAAATTCATTGATATTATATACATATATTATTCTATAATTAGGGGATGAAGATGAATACAAATTCGAATGCTTTAACTTAACGAGCATCCAAATATAAAAGTTTGTATATGGCTTAATTCAGTATTTAAGTTGTGTTTAATTTTGCCATAGATATTTTTATAAAAACTTTAATATATTATAGTTTATGTGTATTATATGTAATCTTAATAAAAAGTTATAAAATATTTAAAATAAAATTTTAAAAATATTAAATAAATAAATAATTGTATGGTGAAACAAGTTTAAATCGATACTAATGAAAACTTACAATATAATTAATCCGGCATTTCAATACGGTTTAAATCTTCGTTCTACAATATTTTTAATACCATTAATATTAGACCGGTTGAATCAAAACTGTTTTAATTAAAACTAGTGATGGACCCGCACGTACGTGCGGAGTTATTTTTACAAAATCACGATTTGTTAAATAGATGCTATTTTGGTAAAATTTTGTTATATGAGTTTATTTGATAAACTATATATAGAGACACAGTTGTAAAATATAGATATTGTATTACATAATACAATTTTAAAATTATTTATATGAAAATGATAAATAATATTCATTGTTTATTTTTTAAACTAATCAAAATATTTCACTGTTTGCTTAGAGATGTTAAATCGGATTTGGGTATGGCTTTAGTTTGAACTGTTTTATGTGTAGTTTAGAATGGAAAACCCGTCCTGTCCCTTTATGTTTTGTCCTGAACCGTCCCGTCCCACCCCGTCCCGTCTTCTATCTATCATAAAATTTCTGTCCCGTAATCGTTTATTTTTAAAACATAATCATTTGCCAATGTTTATTATAAGAAACTTGGTAAAATATTTAGATGGGATACCCGTATTCCTTGTTTAAATATTTATTTTTATCAAACTAATGAAAATCTAATTATCAATATAAGTCACATGCTCCCACCATTTTCATCCACAAGGCACTGTCTGTAATCCTAGCATACACAATCCTTGTTCGATTTTTAATTTTATTGATCTTTCCCTTTCATTTTTATTTCTCATTACTTTCTTCAATTCAAAGATTCATGTTTTAGCCTTTTTGTTTTCTAAAGACTTAGGTATTTCTATTTTTTTTAATACATGGATTTATTGTAGTTTTGTTATCCGAAGTATACGTTATCTTCTTGTACCCGTCATATCATGTCTAAATATTTGA